TCTTATTTTCTTGTACCATATAACATTGTGATAAAAATATATATATATATATATATATTAAAGTGTACAAATAATTAATTAATTAATTAATTAATTTTATGTATTAAATGTTTGTTAATTTAGCAAATACATAAAATTTTACTTTAATATGCAAAATATAAAGAATAAAATATATAAAAATCTTTAAAAAGCCCAAGTGGGACTCTCATTTTCACTCCCTCTCTCCTCTTTCTCACGGCTGCTGGGAGATCTTTGCGATCAACGTACAGGTTAACTTTAATTCATTTCAATGAAACCCAAAATTATAGAATATGATTAGTGGCGCCGGCATATTCTTAAAGGACGAGAAATGATTCTCTCCAGTTTACGTACTATTGATGTCTACGGGCTCAACACGGCATTTTTATTTTAAGCTTAGTTTGGTTGGAAATTTGATAATAGATCAGAAAGAAAAAGAAATAAGCAGGTAAAATGAGAATAAATATTTCGTTTAGAATGTGAGTTGACTTTTTAATTTCTTTAACTATTTTAGACTTGAGTTAAAAAGTCTTGTTCGAGATGAATTTTTGATTTTTGTAGGAGAAAAAATAAAATGATTATAGTTTAGATATGACATTTTATTTTTATTGACTTTTTAACTTATTTTATCTTTTTGTGGCTATTTTAGCTCCAAAAAATCTATATGCATATAATCATTTTATTTTTCCTCACAAAATTCAAAAAATTCATCTCAAACGAAATTTTTTAGCTCACGCGAAAATAGTTAAAAATTCAAAAAGTCAACCCACTTCACAAACAAAGGCTAAAGGTATGAGATTTTTATGTCTTTGTTTGGAAAGTGAGTTGACTTTTTAGATTTTTAGCTATTTAACTTGAGTTAAAAAGTCTTGTTTGAGATGAATTTTTTGATTTTTGTAGGAGAAAAAATAAAATGATTATAGTTTAGATATGACATTTTATTTTATTGACTTTTTAACTTATTTTATCTTTTTGTGGCTATTTTAGCTCCAAAAAATCTTATGCTAAACGAGAGCAAAATATACTTACATTTCATCTAGTTTTAAATAGATTTTTTTTTTCCTTTTCAAAACTCTTCTTAAATCCTCTAACCAAAAACAACCTTAATATTTTGATGTTCATCTTATAAAATTTGTCCGTAGATCATCTATAAAAAAACTTAAAATTAATTTAATAATTTTTTTAGATAGTAAATTAATTTAATAATTAAAATCATATCATTTCATTATATTTGCCTTAAAAAATAGATTAATTTATTTTTTAAAAACAAGTTCGTTGTGGTAACAAGAATCAAGAATTAACAATTCTCTTACCATGAAAACAAGAATCAATAATTTGTTTTCTCTTGTGGTAACAATCCAATTGTCCAAATGAGATGGATGGTATGAATGAACAAATAAATGTAGAACTATAATTTTAAATTTAATCAGTTTAGTTTATGTCTTCCATGATGGCCCAAGTTATGAAAACATTTTTTGTTTTTTTTGTATTTTTTGATCAGAAGTTACAAAACATTAGTAAGATATTTTTAAGGGAAAAGGGTGTGTGGGGCCAGCAACGTAAAAATGTGAGACCTACAATCATGGCATATTTTTTTTTGTTTTGTTTTGTTTTGTACGGATTATGGAAGAGGAGCAACATAAAATATCAACCTTATAATGTACAATAAACGTCCATTTAATGTACAATAAAGTCATGCACGTCCATTGTGCCATATTAATGGGTAATTCAATTGTCTTCCATTTCTTCTTATTTTTTGGTGAATAATCTCCCCATTTCTGATAGTTTCACTTGTGGTTGTGGATCTCTTTTTTTCTCTAACCTTATCTGTATTGTATTCTCGTTGATTTTTACTGATTCATAATTTTTTTTAGTATCATATAAATGAAAAATAAGAATACTAATTACTAATTATGTGAAAATGGTTAGGACATAGTTCTCACTTCCAAATGAGGGTTTCCCACTGTGATCTCACGGCAGGCTGTTGTGAAGCTCCATAGGAGCTTGTCGTTAATCTTTTTTAATATTTCAAATTATTTATATACGTAAGAAAATTAAATTGATTAGACATTTAGAACTCTAGAACAAGAGCATATTTATTTTTTAAAAGATAAACGGTTAATATAATCTTAATAATTTTTTTAAAAATAATTAGATTCTGATCATGTGATTATAGATGTCTAATCAATTTAATTTTTTACATTGATGATTTACTCAATAAACTCTATAATATAAAGGGGTACTTACCAATCAGTCCTACTAACTAGACTTATTTACCTACAAGCCTTAACTGATAAATTTATCACTATAAAAACAAATAGACTGATAAATTTATCATTTATTCATAAAACCAAGAGACTGATAAATTTATTAATTGATAAATTTATCAATAGGACTTAATGGCTAATAAGTCTCAAAAGTAGGACCTATTGATAATTTTTCCTAATATAAACTGTTCAAATTATCAAAAAAAAAAAAAAAAAAAAAAAAAAAAAACTCGGAACAAAAGCTCCTAAACACAAGTCTGGCTTACACTCAACTGGTTTACAATTATTTTCTCCTATCATTTTCAATTTTTCTGATACTTTCTTTTTTTTTTTTCATATTTTAAACAATCTTTAGACGTTTGTTTTTGACTCAAGAATGGAAGTTTGGCATCTAGCAAAATCTCTCATAAACAAGCCAAGGAGAGTTTCAAAATTACAGCCTCCATTCTAGAACGTTGAATTCTTCTCAATTATGCTAAATCCATTTAAAAATGGTGTTTGAATTGTGTTAATTTTTCTTAGATGTGTTTATCATTGAAAATGAGAAAAAAGAAAATAATTTTCAATAAATTGACTAAAAAATAATATTGCCCTGCTTAGTTTGAGTTCGACAAAATTTTAAAAATATATTCAAAACTTCAATGAAAAAACCAAAGATAACACAAGAAAGTGAAAGAAAAAGAATGTACTAATATTATTATTATTATGTATTTGTTTAGATAGAAAAAGAATATATTATTATTATTATTATTATTTTTTATGTATTTGTTTAGATAGAAAAAGAATATATTATTATTATTAATTTTTTCTTTATGTATTTGTTCAGATAGAAAGTTCTAAAAAGTAACAGAAATTAAAATTTTTCGTACAACTCAAATAACTTATTAGTTAAGCTAATAATTTCTTACAAAATATACAGAGAAATTTATTTTTTTTCCACACATCTTGACAAGGTTTTTTTTTCCTTTTTGTCCCTATTTCTCCCCTACAACTCTCTATTATGCCGTGATTATATTTTTTTCCCATCATTTTCTTATAAAAATTTTCATCTATTCAAATACATTCAAGAAAATAATTTTTTATTTGTTTTTCCTTTTTTTCACTTCACTTTCTACTATTTTCATTATCTATCATCTACTTCTTTCTAAACAAACAGAGCCTAAATGAAAAATTAAAGAAAAATTGTTGGAAAACAACTAGTTAGACTTTTATCCAAATGTTATTTTTCAAATTAAGACAAGTTACATATTAAAAAAAATGTAATAAAAAAAAGAGTCCATTCATTCTTTCTCAATGGTGCCATGTATTTTATATCAAATATATTTAATTTAAGTACTCAACCAAGTTTTCTTAAGCTAAGGATAGCTTTGATAGAAGATTCTTCAAAAATACTCTTTCACAATTAAAACAGCCAAACAAGTACTCAACCAAGTTTCCTTAAGCTAAGAATAGCTTTGATAAGGATTCTTCAAAAAAGATCACAAAAAGTTTAGGATATAGATGATCAAAAAAGCATGATCTGAGGGTCCGACAGGCTAGATCTCGGTTTCAAACACTGAAAAACAGTCTCTAGTAAGAAGAAAAAGATCAGGTTAGTCCATAAACCCTAGAAAAGATGGAGAGATATCTTAAGCTTGTTCTGTCTCCATTTAGGAAGCTCATAGAAGGCTTTCCTTGACATTTTGAATATCTCTTGGAACTCCTCGTTCGATAAATATGCCTGCAAAATGACCAACCAGAAAATGCAGATCAAAATAGAGACCGATATGAGATATCCCAACTCTAGAAAGTTTTCGATGCATGCTTTCAAATTATAATTCAAAAGTGGAAATTTCAAAAAGCTAGCGTCAAAAAGTCAACGAAACTAACAGGATTATAAATGTGTGGTAAATTTGTGTCCAGGAGGCTTAGATATCAGTTTCCACGTCATAAATTTTAGTTGAAATGGGGGATTTTTTTTTTTTAAATGATGTTTGCTTTAAATTAAGAGTCACAATAAATCAAATGGCTGTAAATCAAAACAAAAATTTGAGATATAATTTTAAAACGTCCACACTTTCAGATATTGAGCAGTAAATAATGTTCATTTTGAACCACGAATGGAGCAAATTCCTCCAAGATGATACGGAAGGGGGTACCTCTCTTTTGGTCACATCTATGCCCGTTACCGGGTCATTTGACACCACTTTCAACCGCTCATATGGATAGATTAACAAGTTTACACCATCATGAATTCCGGCATTTCCAGACGGAATAGTAGATACCAATGATCCATCTGCGAGAAAAAAATTATGGATAACAGATTAGCCCAGTCAAAGAACCAGAGAACCGTGTGAGCTTAAAAAAATAATAATAAAGAGAGAGAATGAGTGAACGAATGAAACGAAAAGAAAGAATGTGAGAGAAATGCGGGTATTATTTGTAAAGAGTAAAGTCATTCCCCAGCTCTTAACATAAAAGGCAGCATTTTTTCAATCTCATTTTATGGTTTTTGCATTACATGTATAGAACTCCATCAAAGAAATACTGTCCAGTTGGACGCCCAAGCCACAAATTCATAGAATCTTTTTTTGGCTTTTCATGTCAATTCTCAAGATTATTCAATTTGCACAGGCCATTATATTTGTTCAAAAGTTGAGCCAGGATGTCAAAAAAAAAAAAAAAAAAAACCAAGTTTATCCATTGGCAAATAGAAGGATTTTATTCATTACCAGCATCACCAAGATTGGGAGAAGATCCTGAAAAGAGCTTCGGGGTAATTGGAGGGGGGCTTGAAAATCGGCGATTGTATGAAGACTTGACACTTGAGCCTAAAACACTGGATGCAGGAGATGAACCTCTTGCCAGTCCATTGGGGCCAACAGACCGGCTTCTTACACCATTTGGGGCAGTCTCCATTGAGTATGCTTTCCACGAACTTCGTAAATTTGCCTGTGTATACATATAAATGGCATGACAGTAAATAATGAAATGTCCCATATTTTATTTAAATGGGATATAGAGATCATACTAACTGAACATGAAATGCTGTGGCAGTCACTTACTTCCATTTTCTGTGCTTCACCCTTTAAAATAGCAAGCTTCCGCTCAAATGAATTGCCGAGCATCTACAAGTGCAGAAATGGAGTTAAAATTGTCTAATTACCTTAGCACTACTAAATTGTATAAAACAAGCTAAAGGCAACATGAGAGCTTAAACAGCATCTCAGCAAATTTAATTTCAGATTAAGAAATTATTCTCTTACGTTGGCCTTTGAGGAATCCCATTCGAAGAATCGCGTGAAAAATGCTGGCTCGTACCCTTCTGTAACAACATAAATTGGACTCTCTGAAGAAAGGCCTTCAACCAGGATGTCCATCTCCACGAATTTCTGTTACTTCCAACGTAAAAGTAGAATAAATGAATCGTCAAGAAAGAACAAATCATCTAAAACCATCTAACCATAAAAAAAGGCAAAGAATTCAAGGTGTATTTGCAGTGCTTACAAGACCAATAGTAAGGGCCTCTTGTTTTGGTCCGATATTTGAATGGCGTCCAATCCAAACATAAATTTCACTGTGGCAGTCCAGTACTAGCACATCTTCAGTAGTTAGATCATCCTGAGAGTAGTTATATATCTCTTTTGCCTGCAAATTATAAAGGCCACAGAAATTTAAAAAAGAACAGGACATCATCTCTCACTTCCAGAGAATTGCAAGCGTGCAATGCAATTTTACATTAGAGGTTACATTTACTTTAGACTAGAAAAAACCTAACAAACTCGGCAGAACTTCCAGCATCACAAATCTTGAATTAACAAAAAAGAAGCCGATGAATTATTTTTTGCAGAACAATTATATTCCGTATATAACTCACTCAAAAAAAGAAAAAAAAAGTTGGCAGAATATCACGCCAAGCAGCATATTGTTAAGAGTGATTAGTTAAACCATTAGGTGAAATAAAAGGGAAAATTTCAACGTATAATAAATTTTTAAATTTTTTTCACAGTTCAAATTCACTAATAAATGATTAAGTAGAACCTTTTTAATCCAAAAATGATAAATGAAGATTAAAAATAATATACAAACTCAAGCCCTTTAACTAATAGGGGAAATAAGAGACAATTTCAACATATAATAAGATTTTTAATTTTTTTCACAGTTCAAATTCACTAATTAATGATTAAGTAGAATTTTTTGATCCAAAACGATAAATGAAGATTAAAAATAAGAGACAAACTCAAACCCTTAATTACTTCAACATTCAAGTCTCAAACTTTGAAGTACTGTTATTTCTTTCAGATCAATTATGCGATAATAATTACTAACATAAAGCTAGCTGTATCAAAGTATCTGACTACTTTATTAAAAATAATTTAAAGCCAGCATTTATTTAAAACTCTACTTCTTAACTCCTTCACAACTTGATTAAATTTCAAAATATGAGTGAATTATCTGAGTTTTACTTGTATCTTAGATTATAAACATTGAAATATTGATTTCAAATAGTTTACCTACAGGGTGAAAAGAACAGTTTCAACCAAATAGATGTTCGACCACAAGCTACTAACAAGCATACATTTAAGTTTGTGCATGTTTGTGAATACATACATACATTCTTTTATCCCCATTTTATTTTTGGGGTGAACAAATAAATACATATGTTACCTTGTCTGTACTACTATATCTGAATTATATAACTCAACGTGCACCAAGTATCAAAATCTATGAATGATATAAAAATGTGTCTGAAATGTACCTTGAAATCACCTGCTGAATTTCCTGATCGAGTAGCAAAGGTATCCAGAACCCCCCATTAGACATGATTTTACAATGATTCACAGCTGGGATAATTCTGAATTAAAGCAGAACCACATTACCTTTTGAGAGAAATATTTGAAGGCAAGGGTATGTTTCTTACCTTCAGTAAAGGCACATATAAACAAATGGGGATCATCCATGAATGTGTTATTCTCTTTTTCCCTTGGGTATTCGCCCTTTCCACCCAGTGCATTCCAGAAAAGATCTGGTTCAGTACCTTCCCTCACTAATATAGGTTGCCATGTTGGCTGAGAATGGCATCGATAGAAGTGATGGTTAACATTAGGTGAGAAAAATAGGTAAAGTAAAGAGCAATAAGTGTGGAAGGGCTATAAGAAAAAGGAGACACATTTATAAGATCCAGCATTCTGTCCACAAGATCATGATCTGTAGCTGAGGTGAGATTTCCAAACCACGTGAAGATAGATGTCTGAGCCTTCAGGATGTAGCAATAGGATGAATTAAGAGAACTTGAAACCTGCAACAGCATTATCAATCAACAAATACAAAATTTGAGAGTTAACTTTGCTTGGTTTTCAAACTCCAAAGCGTTTTCAAGTTTTTTGTTTTTTTTGTTTTTTTTTGCCTTCAATGAATTTTTTTCATATTTTAGTCAATTTTTATTTTTTTTTTACTTTTTAGATGTACCTAATCTAGATGCACCTAACAAGTAAAATAGTTGAGAAGAAATCTGAAAAAAAACATATTTCCGTATTTTTGTTGTAACAAAGCAAAAGACTGGCAGGAGAAAGGGTGGGGACTACAAGCTCGACACTAGAACTTACCTGATCAACTTGAATTGCTTGCATGTTGTTCAAACTCTTTCCTTGAACTCGAAAAAGAGCTGTCTTTGTGTCATCATAAGTTTCATCAAGAACACCTTTTTCTGCTATAGACCTCTTGTATCGTGTACTCATACCTCCCTATATGAAGTGACAACAACAAAACAATCAGAAGTGGGACTGATGCCTAACAGTAGATTTACTCAGAATACAAAATCTAAATTGACTGTAAAGTGAAACACTGAGGTGCAAACCTTAAAAATAATCAATGTCTGAAAGATAAAGAAAAATTGCACTGGTTCCTTTCCTTCGACAATTTGAGCCTGAAATCAAAACATATAGGTTAAAATTTGAGAAAATCATTTGATTAAGCAGCAACGAAAGTTGAAGTAAAAACAATGTTATGTCTCCTTTATGTAATTCAGTGCTGTCCTACATCAACATCCCTTCAAATACCGTTTCTGGTCATATTGTGAAAGTCATCTCTGAAAGAGAAATTTTGGTATTAAGGCTACTCCACAGTTACACCATGTGATGAATTATCAGGAAACCAGAGCCAATTATTAAGTGGATTAATCCTAGTTACAACATAGCATGTCGTCTTTAAAAAGAAAATTATTTATTGTGTTGGATTATTACATTAAATTACAAATAAATAAAAAATCAACAACGATAACTTTGAACCAACATAAGCTAGCACAGTTTAAGAAGATGTTAGTACTCGAACATCAGCATGATTCACATTAGAGTCAGTTAAATAGATTAAGTTATAAGCACAAATATCAATACATTGCACCATGACAATGCAATAGAAAAAACTAACCAAAACTGGATCTCCCTTGGTTGAATTGATGATGGCGTTCATATGGGAAATAGCATCAGCCTTATCTTCCTACAACGTCAAAAGATAATGAACAAAAGAAGTATCATCACTATAAGTGAGGAAAGAAATAGGAACGGTTTTTTTTTTAATGGATCACTAAATTTAGGGTATTGGAATACAAACATTACAAGTTTCAAATTGTGCATTCCCAAACCAAAATAACAAGTGTATTAGCACTTCTCAGTAACTTTTATCATCACTATAGCAGTTTAGGCCTTTTCTCATGACCAATGTGTTGCAATAATGATATGATGAGTTATTCAGTAATACTTAATCAGCACAATATATGTATAATATTTATAATGTATATTATATTTGTTTTGGTATGTAAGTAAATTTAATGAAGAATGTCACCAATTAGATGTTTAATCAGCACAATATATGTATGTATAACCAGGCACAATATATGTTTAATATATATAATGCATAGTATATTTATTTGGTAATCAACACAATATATCTATAATCAGCTCCTGTGCACACAAATAATATAATCAAAAATATATATACTACTAATAGAGCTAAAGTGCACTACTTGGAAAATTACCATAAGAACTAGTCAGCAATATTCTTAATGAATCTAGCACCAATATCCATGAAAGAGTATTACCACTTCACACAATAAGATTTGCATGCTGAAATTGCGTGATTGGCCACTGGAAGCCCTTGGTTGAAAACTATTAATCCATTTAAAAATATAGGCCTTGTTTGGATTGGTTTTTTTTCAAAAGATGTTTTGAGAAATTATTTTGAGAGAGAGTTTTGGAAAAAGTGATTGATTTGATGTGTATGAGAGATAGATTTGTTTGGAAAATTTGTAAACCAAACAAGTTTTGGAAAAATTTTTTGGGAAAATTTGTTTGGTTTGATTACTTTTGAAAACTTATTTGTAGAGAATTTTTCCCAATTTTTTTTGAGAAACACAAACCAGACAAGGCCATAATTGTGATGCAATTAGGTATGCAGAATTCATTTTAACTAATAATGTTCGCTAGATAAGTGAGAAACTAATAATTTGATTTAGATTCATACATAACAAAATGTGTTTATACAAATAACATAAATGAAGATTGGAGATTCCTGTTAAAACACCACACTCACCATTGCACTCCTGCAACCAAGCCATGCATAGAATAGATTCTCCTCCCTCCCACTGCCAGCATATGCATACTGCACAATATAGCAGTCACCACTATAAAGCTTTGCCTGTTCCGCAGCACGAACAAGGGATACTTCATCGCCATTTACCCGCCAAACCTAAAATGTAAGACAATATAAACAATAAATGCTCAATGACACAAGCTCACATTCATAATATCAAGACACAGGATTTTTTTGTTTAAAAAAAAATATATATTACCTTTAATGTGCCGTTGCAATCTATAAATGGCTGGCAGTCTTCATCAGGTAGCTCTTTGACGTCATAACCATGCTGCTTAAATATTGCTGATTATAGAAAGGAGATAAAAAATTAAAAAAAAACACAACTATACCACTAGAAATACTCTACAGAGCTATTTTGCAGTGTCGAATTGCTTCTATATTTTGTTTTGTATAAGTTATTGAATGAGGTACGAAACCTGCTACTTTTCCTCGACCTTCTTCATACAGCTTTGGTTCAACTGTTGGCCAACTATCAAAATATGACCTAAACAATGCAGTTTCTGATCCTTCAGTTAAGAAAGTTAAATGGGTACCAACTGATCTTCCTTGAGATCTGACAAAATCCTGTGGAGGAGAAACCAGTAATCATTCAGGAAACAAAGCCCTTAAAAGGGCACAAGGGCAAGCACAAGCTGTTGTATTCGTGATTATAAAACATACAGCTTTTTACAGATTAACACTGTTTCATTATATTCTTTTTAAATTTTCTTTTTCCTTTTTTCATGTGTAAGACACAAAGAAACTCACATCTCAATGGAGACATGAAACCTGCACAACTTAAATTTTGATATCAACACTAAGTCCACCATATTGGCATTTTCTCAAAATATATCAGCAACATCTCGCTTACAAGCTAACTGACAGCAACTACCCATCAAAGCATCTCTCTCATGAATCAGCTGCACCAGGTCTCTCAGAATTTTAAGTCTTGGGAAGTTCAATATTTTAGAGTTAAACACGGTTGCATCTTCTTGATGCTTTCTGAATAATATTTGCTTATTTATCAAAAAAAATATTTTAGAGTTAAACACAAACTAGCCCTCTTACTCCATCCTGTTGTCTATACCTATTTTGCCATCTTTTTCTCAATAACACACTCAAGGATAAGAATGCTATAAAAAATTAGGGAACAAAGATACGAAGGATACATCATACATAACCGGGAAAGCAAACATCCTTTTGAGGACACTAAAAACTCTAGACCCTTTTTTTTCATTTTTTTTCCAATTTTTACTTTCAAATATCATAGACAATAAATTCTAATTCAAATGTTAACTTCAAGCAGCTGCAGTAGTTCGCAATTCCCTTAGATTACCAGATTAATATCACCACTGGTTTACCACTTGTCTATTTGCCTAACAACTTAGACTTTTACAAACATACTTCAAGAGGCACTTTTCACAGCACAGCAATTCCCCTTGATGTCAAGCCTAAAAGATAACTTGTATTGATCTGACATATCATTTATAACTCCAATGATAATAGAAATAAGAAATCATGGCGTGCTCCTGAATTTTGAATCTAGTTAGCAAGTCCATTCTATCAGACACCACACCTTTAAGTAAATTATAAAATTTGAGTCATTATTGATTAACAATATTGATATCCTTTTCAAGTTACATATCCCCTCATCATTCAGTCTTCACAACAATTTCATCATCAATATACTCATGTGCTAGAACCTTTTCAATTAGCACCTATTTAATTATCTCCTAATTGAACTTCCTAATGTTCTATCTATGTAGGATGGACCGTAAAATTCTCTCAGAGAAATGAATGTTAATATACTACATTGTAGACAAAGCAGAACAAACACAATTATAACACCACATTTTAGTGTGCACGTATATACTGCATGTGTACGTGCGTGAGTGAGAAAGACAAGAGAAGAAACGGAGTTCTTACTTCTACAGCTGAGATTGAAGTCTTCCGTTCTGTGATCGAGGTATTTCTTCCCATCCAAGCAAAAAGTTCAGCATCACAATCCAACATATAACACTTGTTTGAGTCAAGCATTTCTTTATTCAAATTGTCACTCCCACTTTGACATAGTTTCCCCTGAGTATTTATCCTGCCAATCAGAGAACCTTAAAGCGATTATATCGAGGAAGGCACACTCCGAAAATAAAAAACAAAAAGAGGAAAATTTAAAGGAAACACATGCAACTTGGACTTGTCCAGAATCTGGGAAGATTGATTTAGCTCAGTCAAGGATGTCTCATGCAAATCAAAAAGTCTAAGAAGCACAGCCATTTATGTGCATTGGAACTACAGAAATTGATTTTTTATGGCTTAATGATGTTCACTAATTTCTCAAAATTAGAAATATAAGACCTCTGAGCATTTGGTAGGATGATTTGAATTCTCTCTCTCTTCCCCTGTATTGTTTTTTGGTGGGTAAATTGACTTCCGGTCATGCAGGCTAACGAAAACTGTGGATATGCCAAAACACAGACTTGACAATAATCAGGAGCAAAACTCACCAGAATAGTTTTACAGTTGAAATATCAGGTTGTTCCTGAACAGTAGAGGGTGAATCCCGGGGAATGGGAGCATATCCACCAAACAAGCTCCAAAATTCCCCAACATCTGGATCACCAACAAATTTTCCATCATCTGCACCAATTGAGCAGTTAAAATTTTCAATATCTATTCTTACTCTATACCAAACAAGCTCCAAAAGTACAGAGCAAATCCCTACCTATAGTTGCAACCTCACAATTCCCCCCATGCTTATTCTCTTTGATGTACTGAACAACTTCCAAAGCCTTAGCTCTTTCTTGTGTGCTGGAATTGCAGCCGCTGAAAAGGAAAATTTTTGATGCTGTGTCAAGAATGAACACATCATTGTGGTTCAAGGATGTTCTAGTAAAAGGCACCTGGTCACAAAGTACAGCACAGAGGTCACACACTCATACTTACTTAGTATGTGAGCAGGCATATAATATAGAACACTATGAAGGTGCTTACAAATGAAATAGAAGCAAAATAGAACATTTTGATAACCTAGGTTGGAGACGCAAGGCCCTGGATTAGCTATGCAATAAACAGCATGTTTTATGCTCTAAGTCAGATCAGCCAATGGCCACGAAAATTGCAGGCTTCTTTCTAGAGTTGACTTACTGGGCTTAACAAATTACAATTGTAAACTTTAAGAATCATTTACCTCTTTAACGTGAACAACACGGTCTCCCTTGCATGTTAGCAAGCTGATTTGGTATGTTTCACTATTTGCATGCCCTGGTCCCGAAGAAAACACTCCTTCAATCGGGATAATACAGGGTTTAAAGTATGACAAGAATAACTCAGTTTCTTGACCTTGAACTTCTCTATATTGCACAACATGGGACCCCAGGGCTTCATCCAATTCAAGTGCTTTGTCTGATGCAAGGGCAGAGTCCACCTGCCAATTCCATAATACAAATTAGGATAAACTACAAATAGGTCTTAATAGTTGGACTTAATTCTCATCAAGTCCTGTTGAAAATAAGTCCTAGTAAAATCATCGCTAAAAATAATTTGTGTCGATTTTTTTTGCATATATCGCTAAAAATTGATAATTAATGTCTTTTTTGTCATGATTTTTATAAATTCTCGCTAAAACTTACAGTTAGTGACGTTTTTCTGTGATGAATTTTTTAAACTGCCGTTGAAAGTTGAAAATTAGTGATTTTTTTGTGACGGTTTTTTAAAACTGTCGCTAAAACTTATAATTACTAATATTTTTTGTGACAATTTTCAAATTGTCATTGAAAATTAACGATTAGTGACATTTTTTAATAGTATTTGATGAAAAATGCCATTAATTATCATAAGACCTATTGGACAATAAGGGCACCTATTAGGACCTACATGTAAGTTCCCTAAAAAATTTAAACACCCTTCCATGAAGTGAATTATCAAATAACATGTCTTTAGTCCAAAATTTCCAAATTCATAAACATGCCCTCGCCCCAAATCCCCTTATTTTCTCAAAACATACAACTAATTAAAAAAATGAAGTCGATGGATCAAATGACAAAACTATCAAGCACATTAATCAAGAGGCAAATAATTTAGAGGGCCGATGTATTCCCTTAAATGAGCATCATTTCTCCTACTTTGGAAAATGATTACTGCTACGGTACCTCTGCAGGTTTAGTTACAATATAATGCCATTTATTCCAAAGATATAATGAGAAGAGAAAGTAAAAACCTCATTGGCATCCTTTCCGAGCCAATAATGGATATCATGTTGCTGAGTGCCATTTTTGAGCAAAAAAGTCTGTCTCAAGCAGAACACAAAAAATAAAGTCAAGTTGGTTGCTATGAAAGGAGGCAATATAGATGTGTTACACATCCACATATCATTAACAAGGCTGCAACAATCACTAAACAAATCAGATGAGCTTCTAGATGAAGTTAGGTTTCTGAAATTGTTGATGACTTGCCAATAACTTCGCATAATAGAAGCCAAACCGTGCCAGGAACTTACATTCAAAGCTATATATGCACTTCCAGAAAAGAACTTCCCATGTGAAGACCTTGGAACAGGAACCAACTGAATGTTCTCAACACACCAGATTTCTAAACCACTGAATACCAGTTAAAGGATAAAGTAACAAAATTAACGGCATAGAGATGACTAAAATGGCTAGCTAGTAAATGCATCCTAAAAATGTAATTGACTAATTTGATTTGTGCTTGTTCAACAATATCAAAACGAGTACCCATCTAGCATAAAAATACACCCAATATAGTCTCCAGTAAATGGGATGTGGGGGAGGTAGATTGGGTATCTAGCATTTGGATTTAGAACAATGGTCAATGGCAATTTTTGACTGCTTATTTATTTCAGCAACATGTTTTACTTATTTGACTTCAGAAAACCACAAGTTCTTTAGGTTAACCAAACCAAACCAAACCCCCAAGCCTTAAGTCCCACAAGTTATTTAGGTTATGAAGTTTTTTGGCAACAGCACAAGATGCTTTGAGACTTCTAATATCTTTACTAAAAAGAATCGATGGCAGAAAAAGTGAGTCAAAACAGGTTGTATCAGAGAGCTGAGTTGTGTCATTGGGCTGTTCTGTATCAAACTCTAGACATTTGAGAGCGAGAAGAGAAAAACCAGTTGTGGGGACGTAATTTTGAGAAGAGAAAAAACAGTTGTGGGAACGTAATTTTGAGTTGTCCACATGGCCTAGGTGGTTAGCCGAGGTGCCACGTGGGTGACTCTGATTGGCTGAGGTGTGGTTAAACACGTCTGAATCTAAGATGTTCAAATGAGGGACTAGAGTCCTAAATGATGACAGACTCTTTATTTGGGTAAGGTTGGACTCTTGAGAGGGTTGATCTTAATCCAAATAGGAGTCTTGGTTAAGTGATATCCTTGTAAAGGATAGAGTCCCATGACATAAGACTTCTAAAGGAAGTTGGACACTGATCGGTCTAAAGTATATTTTGAACTAGTATTATTTTGTTTTGATATCTTTGAGAGATAAGTTGACTAACTTGATCATCGAAGTGCCCCTGGGTAGACGAGCCAATGTGGTTTTTCTTATCTTCTTGTGCACAAGTGTTGGCTTAATCTATTCCGCCGCGTGCTCTCCAACTAAGTTCCCTACATCTCGGCAGAGAGATATGATTGGTTGTAAGGTCAAAAACCAACACCCACACCAGTGTTGATCAAAAAGGCACAGCCAACTTTAATAAAGTGTATAATAAGGCATAATTAAAGAAAACCATAATATGGATACGGCTTTGCTCCTGCACCCTGCAATGCGGGGTCAACAGTACCAAAATAAGCCATTGCCTGCTATATATCTGATCCTTCCGGAAACATTCCGCACTTTCTTGCAATATATTCTGCAGCAACGGGATTAGCATCTGTTATTGCCACATTATACAGGTGGTTCATGTATTATACTTGTTAAAAATTGATATGTCATATGTCTAGAAAATGACAAATATCATGCATCAGGGATAACACAACTTCAAAGATGCCCATGTTTCTCCATTTTGAGTCCAATTGTAATTTATAACCAAGTAGAAGGCATCAGAAAAAAAGGAACAACAAAATGTGTTTCCCAACCTATTCCACATAAGTTCTAGTAGTTCTTCACGGCAATTTGAAGTCAGCCTTTGCTCTAAAACTCATACTCACAAACTGGTGTATGGGGGCTCATGAACATCCACATATATATAGAATTGAAGGGATTCAAGTAAATACATTATTTACTTTTTTTGCCATCAATTTTTTGAAATAATGCCTTTTAATTGTGTGATATCACCTGTTTTGTTTCGTGACAAATATTCTACAAGGGTTGCTTCCAAAATCAAACAAAATATCTCATTTCCATGACATGTCAAGATAATTAATTTTATGTCATCAAATTCCCCACTTATCAATGTCTTTAATGAATCAAAGTAAAAAGAAGTAGGCTAAGCGAGAAATTATGACACATGCATGTTGAATACACTTGAACTACATTGAAAAAAAAAGCCTGGCAACCAATTAATTAAAAAAACACACGCACACAAAAACAAGAGAGATGGAGGAGGAGGAGGAGGTGGAAAAAAAAATAAAAAACCTAAAACTTGCATCTTGTGGCCAATCTCCAATAATCAGCACAGGACATCATTTGAGTTGATGAAAATGTAATCACAATCAATGAATCTACATTTTTGTCCAGCAATCTCTTTCAACAATACAACGCTAGATTTGTATTTGATACAATTATACAATAACCATATCCTCACTCTACCATCATGTGTACATACTCCAAAATCACACCCCAATAAAGATAAATAATCCAATGATGACATACAAGTAAACAAATTATAAGATAACAAATCACAAAACATTTAAGCAGATCTTGTTACCTGTTAACAGTTGGGAACTGAATTGAAGCTTTGGAAATCTTTGAAAGATCCAAAATGGGTAGTTTGGGATGAGCCTTGATAGATAGAGAGTAAAAAGGAAAAGAACAATTATAAGTATATTCTCATTTTATTTTTGACCCATTAAATACAAATTTATTAAAAACCAAATTAAATCAAAAGTAACGGAGATGTGGAAAGGTAGATGAAGAAAGAGACAATGTGGATACCGAAAATTTTGAAAGAAAAGAAAAGGGACTGTGTATAATGCAGTGCATGCCTTTATCTTGCACCGAAAGTGGGACCCACAAAGTGAATTTTTTTGTCTCAGCTGAGAGAGAGAAAAATGAGATGATAATGGGGTGGATTGTCTTCGTCACTGGGCTCTGCCTCTGCGAGACAGCCAAGCGCCATGTGAGGTGTTTTGAAGCTTCTCTCTCTCTCTCTCTCTCTCTCTCACACTGGGATTCAACTTTCTTTTCTTTTCTTTTTTCTAATCAGGATCCAAATTCAACGGATTTGCAGGGATTTGGATTTTCCATTTCATGCGGGAAAATGTTAATTTACATTTTGCTGTCCGAATACCCGTACCCAAACAAAGAATTTGGTCAACCGATGCTGTTAGTGCAGTTGTCTATTTTTGTTGGTGGAATTGGACATGACACCGTCCGCTTTTGCGCTGATTGGGCGAAAATCTTTCTCGAAAATATATTTTTCATGGGCCAAAGAAAAATTAATTAAATTATTTTTCATATAGTGTTTGATAACTAAATTAAATATTTAAATTTTAATATATTAAGCGAAAATTAATTAAATTTATTTAATGATAACAATTAATATGATTTTAAATGATTTTTATAATATAAGTTAAATATTAATGAAATTTTAAATAGTGTAATTCTACTTAATTTTTATGAAATTTATAATTATTTATTGAGAAGTATTAATGTATCCTATTATGATATCAAGTCATTGTCGACACCACTGTCATCACCACACCACCGTACTACCTTTCTAACAATATTTCTTTACTATACCATCACAACTTCCACCACTACCACCACTACAATCCTAATATAGCTACTAACATCATTCCAACATTACAATCACTACTACCATTGTAACTATTGTCACTTTCATCTTCTATGTTGTTATTATTATCATTTTTGCCAAAACCACAAACATCATTTCATCACCACCTACAACTTATCACTTACAATTACTATTGTTTTACATCCAATACACCATTTGTCCACCATGATAACAATTACTATCCCTCTACTATAGACATTTTCGTCACCTTCATGTCTGCCACTACCATAACACAAAATGTGAATGAAAAAATTTAGAAGTAATAAATTTAAAACTTTAAGTTGTACATTCAAATATTTTGTTTTATTTCAACACTTATATTTTATAAAATAAATGATTAATTAAAAAAATTCAGCATTTTACCAATCACCACTTGAATTTTAATTTTTTTTTTTTGCAGTTTTCAAATTATTCCATAAAATTATATATTAGTGTATTTTGTTAAACAATAAATGATAGGATTAATTACATCCACACCCCTCGAGATTTGTATTTAATACAACCCCGCCCCGAAGTACTAAAAATTACATTTTCTTCCTTGAGATTTATATTTACATTACAAATTATCCCCTCAGTTAATTAACCGTCAGACCAATTAACGGTTTTTGCTTATGTTAGCATTATATTTATTTAAACTACCAATTTTACCCCTACCTCTCCCTCTCTGTATATGAATGTTGTGCAAAACCATTTGCAGAAACATAGAAAAATAAAAATGAACATAAAAATCATTTGCAGAAACCCCAAAAAAATATTAAAAAATTATTTGAGGAACATCTCTATTAACCATTTTATCAAACAAGTCATTGTATCTTACGCACATTTCAATTAAAGCATTACGAATAAAATGTACCAAAACCTATTTTCAACCATTATCATGAACGAGTCTATCCATTACCACTTACTGATGAGTTTGCCATAGAAAAAGAAAATAGGTTGGAAATAAGTTGAATAAAATAGACTCCGAAAATAGGTTTTATACAATTTCGAAAATTATATATATATATATATATATCAAAATACTGAAGAAAAAGATGATGAAGAAGAAAATTCAGAAAATAGCCAGTGTGATTCAGAGAGGCATGTCAAAGACGCTATCCTAAAGTCGTTATGTGCTCCCTCTATGCAGGTTCTAACAATCACAAACGACTCCAAAATACAACCTAAGAATTCACAAGAATCTGACACAATGAATAGTTGCACCAAATGGATTTGCCAAGTCTCTGTATCAGTTGCCCAGAAATATAGAAAATACAACAAAGAAGAGAAAGAGAAAGCAATCAAAATACGTTGTTTATTCCTGAGTAAGAGTCCTTTTTTAAATAGACTCTTTAATGTCTGTTAGGAACAGACACACCTATTCATTTTGAAATCAAATACAAGTTTAAAAATTCAGACAAATAAGACTATTAAAAGAAATACATAAATAAATAAATACAAAAAATAATAATAAAATAATAAATAAATAAATAAATAAAATAAAGTTTCGAAACTTTTAGGAAATCTCCAACAATCCCCCACAAGATTCAAAATTTTGTAAAATCGTCAAATAAATACAAAAACAATAATGATAATATGGGCAACACTTAAGACCATACAATGGGTGTAGGTGTTTTTCAAATTTGAACCTCACTTAGAGTTAACAGTTTCATTCTGAAAGAATCTTAGTGAATCAAGTCTTGAACTAAATCTTTTTTACCAGAAATCGACATGTCACACATATAGTATGATAGATAACTTTGGCACAGGTTAGCACTATTAGCAACCATGTGTACATCAGCATTGATATCTTAGGGATGAGCAGGAGAATATAAATAATAAATTTAATAAAGTCTCTTTCTTTAAAGTATTGGAATACGAGTCACACTATGAGGATTGTTCCTACCCATTGAACTTCCTTCATGGGATCTCCAATCACAGAAGTCGGGTTATTTCCTTAGTTGACTCCTTATGGGTTTAGACCCATCCCCCTCGATAAATCTAAGGCTATACTCTTAGATAAATCTTTTATTAACTGATTAGCAACATTCTTTTTAGATTTCACAAAATTCAAAGATACAACATTTTTATTCACCAAACTTTTAATAGATTTATACCTCACTTGCATATGTCTATTTATCTTTTTATTAACAAGTTCTATTACAGCTCTATTGTCACAATGTATGAAAATAGCAGGTATAGGATTTTTCACAAGTGAAGTATCAATGAGTAAATTTTTAATCCACTCAACTTCAGTACGCGTAGTATCTAAGGTTATAAGTTCTGATTCTGTTGTACTTTTAGAGATAACGGTTTGTTTTTTAGAATCCCAAGATATTGATGCTCCACTTAACATAAATATATACTCAGTAGTAAACTTAACATCTAAGTTATTTGTTATCTAATTAGCATTGTTATAACCTTCTACCACATTAGGAAAACCACTAAAGCAAAGTGAATTATCTAGAGTTCCTCTTAGATATTTAAAAACTCTTTCCACAGCAATTCAATGATCTTTACTAGGATTATGAGTATGTCTACTTAATCTCCCAACATCATAGGCAATATCAGGTCTAATGCTAGGATCAAAAGGAGTTAAAACTGGTTTGAGATTATAATAATCAAACTTTTTTAACATCTTCTCTAGGATTCTAGATTGATTTAATGTAATACATTTGGTTGTTTTCTTGAATTTCATACCCAAAATTATATAAGCTTCTTCTAAATCTTTCATATCAAATTTTGAAGATAAATAAGATTTCACATTTTTAATTATCTCTAAATTTGTTCCAAATAATAAGATATCATCAACATATAAACACAAAATAATACATTCTCCATTGTCTTCTTTATAGTATACACATCTATCATGTTCATTATTCTTAAAACCAAATTCTAGAATTACCTTATCAAACTTTTCATGCCACTGTTTACGAGCTTGTTTAAGTCCATACAAAGATTTAACCAACTTGCAAACTTTATGTTCTTGTCCTTTAACCACAGAACCTTCAAGTTGCTCCATATAAATTTCTTCATCTAAATCTCCATTCAAAAAGCCATTTTAACGTCCATTTGATGAATTTCTAAATTATAAATGGATGCTAGAGCAATTAAGATTCTAATGGTTGTAATCCTAGAAACAGGCGAATGGGTATCGAAATAATCTATTCATTCCTTTTGTGTAAATCCTTTTGGCTATTAATCTTGCCTTATATTTTTCTATACTACCATCATGTTTTAATTTCTTTCTAAATACCCATTTGCAACCGATAGCTTTACTCCCAGGTGTAGCACGCGCCCGCGAGGGGGGGCCCTCGCTACAGTTCGGACTCGATTTGTGTCACGATTCTTAATCTGAACCAAAGAGTCCAAATCCGGCAAATCGTTTTGAGAAACAGATTTTTTTGAAAAGAAGTGCCAAACATGGACTGCTTTGCCAGATACAGAGTCGCCACCTAAATATTTTAAAATGGAAAAATTTAGAAAATCCTGACTCGGTGCCAAAGGCCACGCGTCTGTTATCACCAAAGTTGCCTCGGCTCGGGAACTTGGGTACGATTGGGGAAGGTCAGCTATGAGCACCCCCTCTCGCCCGATCCGAAGATCGGCCTCTACTAACCATGATATCCGTGATAGCCGTTTTTGAAAACGTTATGTGTTCTTATTCCATTTATTAGCCTAGAATTACTATGTTATGCTCACAGCACACAAGTATAGACTAGATTGCCTAATTTGGAAATAAGTATTGCATATCCGTTTGTTTTGGAAAACACTTTGGAATTTGCTACTCGCAAGTAGGCTAAAACACGGATTTCAACGAGTTTTTCCAACTCAGACAATCCAACCTTCACCCACAGGCACTCAAACAGTTTATCACATAAGCATCTAGCCACATGGTAAACATGTTGTCATGATAGCATTCACACGCGTGCGATATGCTAAAGCAAAAGAACTTACAGAGTACTCCAAACCAAGACAGGAACTAGTTAGTGATCACATGCATGATCCTAGTTCATATTTTGAAATGGCTAATGCAACACATGCAAAGATGCAATCCAAACGGGCTCGGCTATCCTAAACATGGTATGTGAACTGCGATCAATTGATGTACGTATTCAATTTGGAATCGAAGTACAAATGCAGTTAGCATGATGTACCGAGCCTGATGCATGCAATACAAATGCATGAATGCACGCATGCATAGCATAAGGTATGCTAATTTTAAATATGCCCTAGTCTACCATCATAAGCAGGTAAATAAAAAGGAAGAAAGACGTGAGGTTGGAAGACATACACACACTCACGCACACTTATTACACAATTGCCCCCCACTCGGAGGGTCCAAATAAATATTACAGT